CCCCCCCCAGCTCCTCTGCACCATTCAATGTGTTTATTTAACGCGAACGCCCCATATTAAGACCCCTCCCCACCCCTCCTATGAATAGATATTTATTTTAATTATAAATCTACCTATTTTAAAAGTTGTTTTGATATGTATTTAACATTAAACACATTAAACCCCTTCCCCTCTTAAGCACCCGCCACCGCCCCCCCCCCCCTACACCGAAGCCCATACATCCTGGCTTGGGGTGGAAATTACATATGGAGAAGATCTATCTAGTCTGTATACCTCTACCCAGCCTTGGTATCTACCTGAATTATCTATCTATCACCACATGGGTATCTATCTATCTATACATTTACGTCTATCTATCTATTTATCTATCTATGTGAAGGAGAGAAATCTAACAACAGTTCCTATAAGCGTCAAGCGAATGCAAGGACTAACTAACTCTTATTGTGTACATATACAGTGATTTAAACGTAAAATAATGGTTGTAACTTGTACAATTAATTATTACTTAAGATATTTTAAGGTTTCAGTTCGCTACCATTTTAAATCAATGTATTAATGTCAATTAATGTATATATTGTTATTATTTTTCAACCCAATTTTTTGAAAGAACTATTTGGACGTAAAAATTACTAATATATTTAAATACTCGGAGTCCGAATTTAATGAATTTAAGACGCGTCTCAAATCCCCAAAAAAACCGGTTTTAACTGAGCGCCGGCTTAAATCTTGAACAATTGAATATAATTTTAAGTGGAACCAACCATATTTGAGCCGCGGCTTAAATTTAACCCGCGGCTCAAATTCTTTAAATTCGGCCTCTGTTTATATGTACCATAAATAGTGCACAATACTATAGGCCGTGCAGTGTCCCAATAAACATGGGAATTAAGTGACGAATTCGCGATATCGTCTTTTTAAATAATTCTTTGATTTAGTATAGTGATTAGTGATGCAAACTGAGAAAGCTGTAATATCCGTAAGATTTTCGTCTGCTTTATGTTTACAATTTGTTTGTTTATGTTTTGACTGCATATACGAATTTACTTAGGAAAACAAGAAATTTACAGTATACTAACAGAGTAAACTTGTCCGTCTTTACTGTTCATCTTGCGGAGACTTATAAAAACATCTTTACAGCCATTTACCGTTTTCATAAAATAAACTATAGCAGACATAATAATATTATGGCTTTTGAAATTAGGTATTACAATGCTAATTCATAACAAAGACGATAGAAAGATAGTCTTTCTCAAGGGTAGCCGTCAAAAAGTTCGTAAAAAACGCTTTTGGAAATGAAGTCCTAAATTTTAGCACTAAAAAGTCCTGTGGAAAAAAGTCCTGAAATAAAAGGAAAAAAGTCCTCTTTATAGTCGAAAATGCCTAGGAACAAAGGATGTTTACTAACTATGGGAAAAACAGACAGATATTTAATATGAGATGCATAGAAGAGTGATTTTATTTCCTGAAACATGGCAGCCCCCATATTATTCTAGGGAAAAAAGTCCAAGGAATCTAAAAATTAGGACTTTATTTCCAGTGACATTTTGTCCTAGGACTTCAGAAAATTGGGACTTGTTTAGTGAAGTTTTTATTTCCAGGTTTTTATTTCCAGAAACTTTTTTCTTGTGACTTTGCATGGACGTGAGATCCAAATCTTATATTAGACGTGATCATCACAATTTCTCTTCCTAAAGATTTGTTGAGAAGGACAATTATTTTTATAAAATAATAATATGTACCCGGATAAATTGGTATTCTCATGCATAATAATGCCTAATTTTTAAACTTGACGAGGTCACGAAATCGTACCAGAAATACTGCATGAATTATAACTGCAGGTGAATGTGGATGTGAATTAATGAATGAATGAAAGAAAGGATGTAAGAGAGTAATTCGGTTTTAGAATATAATAAAAAAAATGTTTACAGCATTTAGGAATAATTTACCCAATTTTACAAAAAAAAAATTACATTTGAATTTTTTATTTTTAATTAATTGGCGTGGTGGATGTTAGAATTTTTCGGCGATAAACTCACAGATTATAGGAATTCGAATTGTAGATGTTGTACTATAATAAAAAAATCGTTTTTATAAATGTGAAAGGATGAATATGCACGAATATATGTGAAAGAATGAATATGAATGAATGAATATAAACGGATGAGTGATTCTGAAAGGATGAACTAATATAAAAGAATTAATACGAATGAATCAATAAAGAAAGAATGAATGTGAATGAATCAATAAAGAAAGAATGAATGTGAATGAATCAATAAAGAAAGAATGAATGTAAATGAATCAATAAAGAACTAATTGATAAGAATGAATCAATAAAGAAAGAATGAATGTGAATGAATCAATGAAGAGAGAATGAATGTGAATGAATCAATAAAATAAGAATGAATGTGAATAAATCAATGAAGAAAGAATGAATGTGAATGAACTAATTCAAGAAAGAATTGATATAAATGAATCAATTAAGAAAGAATGAATGTGAATGAATCAATAAAGTAAGGGTGAAAGGATGAATTGAAATAGGAAAGAGTGAATGAATGAATGACTCAACTAGAAAAGAATGCGAGCTGATAAGTTCTTGAATAAATTACGGGTTGCAATTTTACACTCGTCAAAGGAATTAAAAGTTCTTTCCACAAACTCTGATTTTCTAATCCTTACATTTGCACCCCAATGTCGTAGACATTAGATATTTCATTTTCAAACTATAAAGTCTGGTTGGATCAAATAATCTAAGTTTGAAATATAAAAGGTTTAAAACATCAGGTGGCAAAGATCTTTGGATAAGAAAATTTGAGTTTGTGGCAAAGATTCCTTTCTAGCTTCAGAAATATTTTCCAACCTTTCTTGCAAGTGTATGCAGTGAAAAAAATAAGTTTTTGAAGAAAATGTGAATTTTTATTTTGAAAGAATAATGTGTTCACCCCTGGAACCATGGAAGCAAAAGAAACTGCAGGCGCTCCGAGTTGTATTCTTGTGTAGACCTTGTTTTCTCTAGTTTCTAACCACTGAATAGTGAATATAAACCAGATACAGAATCAGGGGCGGATACAGGGTAGGGGGGGGGGGATAAGTAGCTGCCCCCCCACCCTCCGACCTCATGGATAAATATAAACGTTCCCTTCAGGAACGTTAACCAAGTTTATCACCTCCCCCCCCCCACAATTAACAAATTCCTGGATATGCCCCTGTACGGAATATATAACAGATGAAACAAAATTGATTATCCAGTACAAAAAATTATAATGTAAAGATAGTTATTTCAGAGGCGTACGCATTTTTTGTACTGCAGTGAACTGTCTCTGGGCGGTAAAGTAAACACAAGACGGATTTCACTGCCTGACATGGCATCCATTTTCACATAAAATATCAATGAAACATTCTGTTAATAGGAATCTACATTTGAAGAATTTAAAAAAATCTGCGAATAAATTCAGAAATTAGAAAATTAGAAATTCAATACAATAATGAAAACAAAATAACCAATTTTAGCATTGATTTATTGACAAATTTCTTTTGAGAAATATGTTCCTAACCATTTAATTAGATTACTGTATAATTTTTACTTTATTTTTCGTTGTCGTTATTTAATAATTTAAAAAAAAACTAATTTTAAAAACGATTCACCCCAAAGTAGAAGTTTTGAACGTCGAATTTGCGCTCAAACTCAGGATTTACAGATCTTTAAAAAGTTTTATATGTCTCAAATGAATCCGAAAGAAGTTTCCCACAACACTGCATACTCAGTTCAACTACCTTACATAGCCGGTCACTCCCTTTAAAGCAAATCTCATTTGATTGGAAGTCTAAGGTTGCAAAGAAAAATGTCAATTTCACTTTTCAAAATTCTAAATTCATGAATTTTGAAGGGGGTGGGGTCTGTTTTGAGACGTTTAACCTCGACGCGTATAGTTTAGTAGATTTTAATATATTTATCAAAAATATATCATGTTACACGCATTGTTTGGAATTGATTTTGCAAACGATATTTGCAAAAAAGAAATCTTAACATTTAATTTTAAAACACTCAAAATAAACTTAGAAAAAAATAAATTTTTAAAGTATAGATACACAAATTTTTAATGTAATGTAATGATAATGTAAATTAATGCTTTATGAAAAAATAATTTTTTCCAACACATTCTAAATTATGAGTCTGAAAATTCGATTTATTCTAGGAAAGTTAGTTTCTGCTTGGCGCGTGAAGTCGTGACAATATATTTTTATCGATTATATTATCACTATAGCGGACTGATAGTTAAAATGGGGACATGGGCATGAATCCAATATCCCCTCTCCCTTACCCATCTTCCATCCCCCCCCTCCCCTTACATCCCATCATTTCCCTCCCATCCCTTCCCATCCTTTTTCTATCTCCCTGCAATCTTAACACATTAAACAAAACCACCTCTTTACCACTAATAATTTCCCATTTACTCCCCCCCAGATAAACAGAGTAAACTTGTCCGTCTTTACTGTTCATCTTAATGGTTAATAATGATAAACACACGTGTATATATATATATATATATTATCTTATTTCATTTCAGAACCATGCTCCCGGTATCATATTAAATTTTGATAGGTAAATATCTTTCTATTATTATCTCTGTTTAATATCAAATTGTATTGTCCTAATTATTATTATTGTTGTTGTTATTATTTTCTAATTAAATAGTACATTAACATTTTTTAGTTCATGATTATTCCACTTTTTATACTTCGTTAGAAATGTACTTTTAATAAGTGTTGGATGAAAAAAACCAAAAAATTTCATGATTACAAATCTAAATAAATGATGAACCTAGAAAACACCCAATTTTTACAGGGGTGTTTTTCATCGATCATAATAATTAACAATCAATTATTGAGCACAAATTTGATGATTATATAACTGATATTGGAGAAAAAAAATGCATTTTGTATTTTTTATTTTTTTTTATATTGTTTTTAAATTTCGGGCAGTAAATTGTGGGATGCGGTGGGGTAAAGATCAAATATTTTTCTCACAAGGATCAAAAACATAAAAAAAAATATCAAAAATTCAAGAAAAAATTCAAAACATTAAAACTGCAAATGTTAAATTATGAAAAAATTGAAATTTTTTTCAAATATTTCCTTATTTAACACAATGTTCTGTATATTTTGTTGTTGTCCTATAAAACTTTAAATAATTAAAAAACTTATAGTATAAAAAAGTCAATTAAACATAAAAAACTGAAGCAAAGTTGAAATCTAATAAAAATATGACCAACAAAACATTTAACTCCATCAAATGTAAAATGATTTAAACATAAAAGCATTCTAGCAGAAAAAAGTTTTTAAAATATTTGAAAAAAAAACATTTATATTTTAAAACTATCAAAAAACCAGTAAAAAACAAAAGAGCAATAAAACATGAAAAAACAATACAAATAATTAAATATCAAAACATAAGAACCATATAATTTGCTATTACCATGTATTAAACATTTCTGTTCATTATTTCAGAAGCACATGATATCCCTCACGTTCTGTTCATTATTTCATAAGCACGTGATATCCCTCACGTTCTGTTCCTTATTTAATAAGCACGTGATATCCCTCACGTTCTGTTCATTATTTAAATCTAAATGTTAGCAATTCCTATAGCTTTAGTTTTAATTCTAAATTATGAACAAAGTGATTGGAATATAAACCAGGATTATAATTATGTTTTAAAAAAGACAAAGTGATGTATTTGAGAATAGAACAAGGATTAGGTCCCCCTCGGTATATTCCTCTCTCGGGGGCCCTAGCCCCAGCCAACCTACTCTATGGTACAGGCACTATCATTTATGTAAGAATTTTCAAATATTTAACAACGTTTTTTAAAAGGTCATCCCTAGCAAACAATCAGAATTAGCTTGGAACACGAAGACTTAATTAGGAAAAGTTAAATTGAATATATTTCTAGATTTAATTTTAATATATTTTTTGGTTTTAAGAACTTTAAAGCAATGAAAAGCTAGGGATCCTATAAATAGGGACCACTACATCAAATTTGAATATGTATAGGGACCCCTAGATCAAATTAAGATATTTCAAGGGACCCCTAGACCAAATTTTAATATCATTACGGACCTCTAGATCAAAATTGAATATGTTTAAGGACCCCTGATCAAGATTGAATATGTTTAAGGACCCCTGGATTAAGATTAAATATGTTTAGGGACCCATGGATCAAATTAAAATATGTTTAGGGACCCCTGGATCAAGATTGAATATGTTTAAGGACCCCTGGATCAAATTAAAATATGTTTAGGGATTCCTAGATCAAAATTAAATGTTTAGGGACCACTAGATAAGATTTGAAAATGCTTAGGAACCCCTGGATAAATTTGAATATGGTTAGAGACCCTTCTAGATCAAATTAAAATATGTTTAGGGACCCACAGAGAAATCCATGATGGCTGGGAAAGGATTATCTGACGACGAGAAAATAGAATTGAAGGAACAATTTCTGCAGATAGACAAGGACGAGTCAGGGTAGGATACGGGGGGAACCAGAAAATAATGGATAATTTTTTTTTTTTTTTTTTTTAATTTGTTACTGATTTATAACACATAAAACGGCCAGAGCTGAAAACTTTAGAATTGTGGATATCGAGATTAATGCTTGATCCCCTCTTTTTCATATTATCGAGACTAACTTAATCTTGTATATGAAGCTGATAAATTAAAAATTTTGCGCCCCATTTAAGATTATATACAGAAACGGGAGGGAATCTCTAATTTTAAAAAAACAGTTTCTGATTTTTTCTCTACCATATCCAAGAAACAACGGTTTAAGAAGAAAATAGATATTCAGATTAAGTAATCAAGATTATGGATATCTCATTCTAAAGTTTTCAGCTCTGAACATTTAAAAACATTAATATCAACTTAGCGACCAAAAACAAAATACAAAAATATCCCGGCCAAAAGTTTTCAGCTCAGTACGCTTCAAATTATTTTTAAAATCTATCTTAAATTTAGAAATTTTTTTTCTTTATTTTGTTAGAAAAAGAAACATGATGAAAATCGTAAATTTACTTGATTTTAGCATTATATACATTTTTTTAATTTTTAGGTTTATTGACTTTAATGAATTAAAAGAAGCACTTGACTTAGCTGGATTTAAGGTATTTTAGAAGTAAATCTATTTTTATATCGAAAAGTAATTGAGTTTTGCCACAAACTTAAATTGTCTAATCCCTTTAACTTTGCAACCTTAGATCTTAGATATTTTAAAGTAAGTCTGTAAACTGATCTAACAGAATTTATAATTAAAATTTTAAAGGTTTACGACGTCGGATTGCAAAGATGTAGGGATTAGAAAATCAGAGTGTGTAGCAAGAATTTTTTTTTCTTTTAAATACTTTTATCTTATCGATTTTATTGACTTGCGATACATACTTATAGACAAATCATAAAAATCCTTTATTACGGTCTGGCGATGACAGTTGTTTAGGTTTGGGTTCAAAAATTAAAAATCTCAGTCATGAAACTAATCATAAATATCTAAAAACTCTTGAAGTAAGACCAACCAGTCGTCGTCGTATATCAATGCAATGAAGACGACAATTGATTTCATTTTTTTTCTACGAGGTTTTTAAACAGAATGGAAACACAAAAACATGGAAACAGCAGCTGTCCAAACTTCTCTTTTTTTGCTTGAAAACTTAGAAATCAAGATTTATATAGAAAAGTTGTATTTATTGTAATAATTTAAACGCCGATCTAGGAAATTTTAAAACATACATGATCTTTTAAATAATGTTTGTCCAGGTTCCTGGCTGGAGAGTGAGAGATCTCATAGACAAGGTAAAAATCGGAAATCAATCTATTATTATCAAATGACTGTTTGAGTAACAATGATGAAGATTTCTTCGTTTTTCTTTCTTAAAACTTGTTGAATTCTGTAAATTCATTTCATTTCATTCATTGTCTTCCCACTCCCAATTACCTTTAGATAGAAAGTGCAGTGATTAATTTTCAGTTAAAAAAATATGAATACATCATTCATCCTTCATCAGACAACTTTTCTTTTTACAACCCTAATATGATATTTAATGATATATTAAAATAATTTAGCTTTTCTAGGTTTAAAAGTAAGTAATTCTAATAATTACTTTATGTATTCCAGTCGTATAGAAATGCAAAGAAACCACAATTGAAAATAGTCAGTTTTTAAATGTATAAGCACTGTCATCTAATTCATGCAAAGCTTTTTCGGGCTTTGTCTTTTTTTGCATATGGAGGGTCTTTTTGTAATTACAGGATTCTTTTCCGTGAAATATTTAATGAATTAATGAATTAGTTTGGACGAGAGAAAGAAGTAGATCATGTTGCAGCACAGAGAAAACTATCTTATCATGAGTTCGAACATGTAAGTAGACCAACTAGTTGATCAATTAGTTAATCAATTAGTTGATCAATTAGTGAGTAGATCAAGTAGTGAGTAGATTAATTAGTAGATCAATTAGTAGATCAATTAGTAGATCAATTAGTGAGTAAATCAATTAGTGAGTAGATTAATTAGTAGGTCAATTAGAAGATCAATTAGTTTATCAATTAGTGAGTAGATCAATTAGTGATTTGGTTAATTAGTAGATCAATTAGTAGATCAATTAATAAATCAATTAGTATATCAATTAGTGAGTAGATCAATTTGTGAGTAGATTAATTAGTAAATCAATTAGTAGATTAATTAGTGAGTAGATCAATTAATTGACCATTTAGTATATCTTCAACTATTCCTTTTCTGCTTAGAATAAAAACTTTCTGGGACTTAATTTGAAAATATATATTTGGATATATTTTATATCTAAATATATATAAGGGCCGGGTCGATTTTGTAACCAAGCTTAGGGACATAGTGATATACCTGCACCTAACTATTCTAAGAACTTCGTTCAGAAACAACCGTATTATTTAATAATAGAATAGTATAATTTTATATCCAGAAACAACCTTATTATTTAACAATCGAATAGTATAATTTGATGAACTAAATGAATGAATAAAATAACTAAATGAAAAACTTTGTAAACCCTATCCCTGCTGGGAAACTTGAAAACTGTGGGGGGGGGGGTCAATTTTACTCTATGTTGAAAAGATACAGGGGCGCCAGCAGCTCGCTAAAATCTTGATTTAGCAGCGTAGCATGCTGAAAAATCCTATTTTAAGAGTTGTCAAGAAAAAAGCTGGGTTTCGGTCGAAATTCTTAACTAAAACAAACAACTTAAAACTTATCTAAGAAAAAAAATCTTAAGCGGCCAGTGTATCAGGGATACATGTTAGAGATTACAGAGAGTTGTATCAGGTATACATGTTAAAGATTACAGAGAAGTGTATCAGGGATACATGTTAAAAATTACAGATAATTGTATCAGGGATACATGTCAAGGATTACAGAAAGTTGATACAGACTGAGTATTATTGATCGGACTGGTAAGTTCGAGAGCGAGTTGTACGATACATATTGAGTTTATAGAATGTTATACCTGTATTGGTACAGACTTAGGAGAACTTATTGGAGTAAGGCATTTTTTACATAAATATCTGTTTAGCTTTGCTGTGAGCTGAAATCCAAGGATGTGTCCCAGACCTTTAAACAGAAAATATCAAGGAAAGAAAATATTCACACCCATGGAGGGATATCAGATGCTAGTGCAGAAGGTTTGTAATAATGATAATTGCAATAATAATTATAATAATAATAATCATAAAAATAGTAATAATAATAAAAATAATAATAATGTTATTAGGTACAACCCACTCTGTACGGTTTGAAGAGCAGCTAGCCTTCTCTGACTGGGTCAACACAAACCTGGGTCATGATCCTGATCTTAGGTATGACAATAAGTCATGGAGATCTCATTTCCTGGATCTTCAAGATCTTTTTCTTCGTGATCTTCTTGATCTTCTTGAAGTTCTTGATCTTCTTGATCTTTTTGATCTTTTTGATCTTTTTGATCTTCTTGATCTTTTTGATCTTATTGATCTTTTTGATCTTCTTGATCTTTTTGATTTTCATGATCTTCTTGATCTTCTTGATCTTCTTGATCTTCTTGATCTTCTTGATCTTCATGATCTTCTTTATTTTCTTTATCTTCTTGATCTTCTTGATCTTCTTGATTTTCATGATCTTCTTGATCTTCTTGATCTTCTTAATCTTCTTGATCTCTAAGATAACCTCTTTAATATTTAGGCATATACTCCCCCTAGATGGGGAGGGATTGAACCTCTACGAGGCTGTGAAGGACGGAATACTGCTTTGCAAGGTAAAGAGAATCTAAATTTTTGCCACTAATAATATACCTAAATTTTTACCAAAAATAATTAATCTAAAATTGTACCACAAATAACATACCTGAAGTTTTGCCACAAATAGCATATCCAAATTTTTGCCGAAAATAATATAACTAACTTTTTTGCCACGAAAAACATACCTAAATTTTTTCCCCTAATAATATATCTAGATTTTTTCCCCAAAAATATATCTGATTTTTTGGCCACAAATAATATATCTGAATTGTTGGTACAAATAATGTATCGGCCTAGGCTAGAACCAAAATGGAGTCAGTTATGACCAACGGTCGGAAGACGGAAGATCAACTCGTCGTACGAGAGAGCTCCGGCTTTCCTTGATTCATTAGTATCATTTATTTGTTCATTTTTTTAGATTTTCTTTATTTCATACCACTTCTAAATGGTAACAGATAGATTGAAAAATAAGATATTTAAGTTTTTGCCACACATAATACAGCTATATATTTGCCACAAATGATAAACTAATTGCCATGAATAATGCAGCTAATGATGCATCTAAATTTAGGCCAGCAATCATACATCTGAATATTTTCCACAAATAATATATCTAAAATTTAACACAAATGGTACATCTAAATCTTTGCCACAGATGATACATGTAAATCTTTGCCACAAATGATGCGTGTAAATTTTTGCCACAAATAAATCTATCTATCTATCTATGGCTTTAGATTATAAACCACAGCTGTCCTGACACCGTTGATGAGCGAACTATTGATATGAAACCAAACAGTGTTTATAAAAGGTAAAAAAAAATTAATTTATTGAGAGTTAATGATTGTTTGAGCAATAAATTAATATATTGAGTGATAAATTATAGATTCATATATTGTATGCTTATGATCATTTTAACAATTATTAAGGGTTAATAATTGTTTGATCTATCTTCAATTCATTTATTGAGTGTTAATGATTGTATAATCAATAATCGATTAGACTATTTATAGAGTTATGTTAAAGTGATTAAAAAGGATTCTTTGTTAAGGATTGATTGATCATTTTATGATCAAATAACGGATAAGTTGATAATCTATTGATTTATTAAGCAATGGAAAAATTAATTGTTCAAAGAATTATTTTCATTTGATTATATTTAGTTATTTATTCAATAATTTATTCATTTATTAACTGATTGAATGATTAATTGATTAATTGTTTGATTTATTAACTGATTGAATGATTAATTGATTGATTTATTGATTTATTGATTTCTTACCTGATTGAATAATTGATTCTAGGCATGAGAATCTAACCCTGGCTCTATCTTCTGCTCAGAGTATAGGAGTAAATCTTGTAAACATTGATGCTAATGATCTGATTAAGGGAACACAACATCTTGTATTAGGTATTCATTCATTCATTCATTCATTCATCCTTATTCATCCATCATTCTACCAATTCATTCATCCTTTTGTCCATCTATTTGATCATTGATTTATCTATCTATTAAGGATTACTCTGGCAGATTATAAGAATTGGATTATTTAATCAGATTTCTCTCGAACAATGCCCAGGCCTAGCAAATCTTCTTCAGGTTAATAAGCTGATAATAATCAGAAAAATAATAATATTAATAATAATAGTAATAATGTAATAATGATAATAATAATAATTATGATAATAACGTTAGTAATTATAATATATTCAAGGGTGGTGAACAACTTGATCAGTTGATGAAAATGTCCCCTGAAGCCATTCTTCTCAGGTTAAACTTCAAAACTAATTTTATCATCAAACAAATTGTATTATCAATCAAAACTAATTTTATGATCAAACAAATTTTAGAATCAACTGATTTTATTTTTAAATTTGAAAACAAACAAAATATCGTTAAGATAAGATAAGTTAATATCTCATAAAAATTTTATTTAAATTAAGGACTAAATCTTAGAGGAAAAATTTTAATTTGGAATTCAAATTAACCGAAAACATTTTCCTTAAAGTGGAATTTCGAGAAATCCCCAGAACAAATCTGGTGTAAATAATCGAAAAGTGCCATTTTAAAAGATTTACTTAAATATGAATTCTTTTTTATCATCAATACATGATGAACAAAGTTATTACTCTTCTCATACTTTTGTCAATAATCATTATATATTTGTAACCTAATAAGCCAAGATAAAAAAGTTAGGAAGAAATATTAACGGTTTGGATACACCATGCGTAAGGTAGGAAACTAGAGTTTGGAAAGAGTAATTACTTCCTATATTGTATGAGTCATAAAAGAAATCTTTTTTTATGTTTTTCATTTCGTTTAGTACGTTAAAGCTATTCAAGCACACTAAAGAAAGTTTTCCATTTCTTTGGAACGTTAAACATGTGTTTTATTTTTATAATTGATTTTCTTATCATTTAGATATTTAAAAAGATTTAAATTTAAGAACTGATCAAAACTTTAAAAATTCAATGAATTGTTTTTATCTATGAATCAAATATTTTAGATGGGTAAACCACCAGCTGGAGAGGGCTGGCGTGCAGACAAGGAAAACCGGTTTTCTAAAATATTTTCAGCTGACGTTCTCGACGCCATTTTTATATTTCCAGCATTATTTTGATTCAAATTTTTGTCCATATATTTCATTATTTAATTATAATTTTTACTTCATATTCTATAGTATTAGTGACAAGACAGGATTCAGATCCGCTGTTTTGTCGCAACGCTTTGATCTTTGATTTAACCTCTCAAAGTGGCCCTAGACATTTTAGAACCATAAAGGATTTACTTTTAGCTTTAGTGTTTAATAAGAAATTGACAAAATTCTCATTTGGCAATAGGATCAAATCTGTGGACCACTGCACTGGATCACCGTAAGATCTGAATCCGAAAATAAAAGTTAGATTCCAAGATGGACTAGGATGAGAATCAACATGGATTCGTCATTGACAAGTAAACAAATTTTAAAACTGTTCAATGGTTTGACGAAAACTGTTGTTTTCTCAGAATCAACAATTTCTCCGCAGACATTAAGAATTCTGAAGCCTATACCCATCTTCTTCATCAGATAGCTGCCCCTGATTCAGGGGTTAATAAGGAGGCTCTTATGGAGGTATCTATCTATCTATCTATCTATTTATCTATCTATTTATCTATCTATCTATCTATCTATCTATCTATCTATCTATATACCTATCTATCTATCTATCTTTCTACCTATCTATTTATCTATCTATGTATCTATCTATATATCTATATATCCTTCTATCTATCTATCTATCTATCTATCTAGTAAGTAAGTCAGTAATTATCTATTTATGAAATATTACAAAAACAAACAAAGTTTAGTGTTTCAGGAGAAAATATTTTAAAACTTCAAAAATAGAGGTTGTGGGAATATTTACATTATATTTGAAATTAATTGGTGGTGGATTGTTAGTATTTTTCGACGATGAATTAACAACTTTTAGAAATAAAAATAAAAGCTTTATTTGTTATGGTTAAAAAAATTAAATAGACTTTCTATCTATCTATCTCTTTATCTCTTTAGGATGACCTGCAAGCTAGAGCAGAGCGGATGCTTGAGCAAGCGGATAAGCTCGGCTGCCGGGCGTTTATATCTCCACAGGTGAATGTCGTCTTTGTAAATTCCCTAAACCTATGCACAAACAGAAAAACGCGCTGTGCAACATTTGAAAGTGATTTTTCATGAATAAAAGGAATTAAATGGAATTCTATACATTCAAGGTAATTAATAATAATTCAAATCTCTGGGTTTATGGATACATTTAAGGTGAATACAAAAAGTTTAATAATAATGATAATAATTTAATCCACTCCTCCCTTCTCCTTCCTCCCCACTCCCTTCTCCTCATTAAAAAATTTGGAAGTTTTAAGGTTCAACTACAGTGTGAACCAGAAACCTGGAATAGAAAGACGACTTTCATACTCAATTAAATTATGTTTAAAATAGTCCAATGAACATGAGGTACAGCAATTGGGCAGTGTGAACAGACCCATTTCACTGAGTAAGTGATTTATTAAGTTTCTAGAATATAAAACTGTTTTCTGGGGGCAATACTATATTTGGAATTACTACAGGTTTAAGGGGGAACAGAGCCTTCAATAGACTTTAAATCAAATACCATAAACTGGTTTTTCACCCTTCTCAAAATGGAAACTGGATTACTCATGGCAGACCTCTGACAATGATAGGCAAAAGACACACTCCCCGTGTTTTAAAGCGATGGAACAGCATGCTTAGCGGGTTATTTTTTCTTTAAAAAATCTGTCCACGTGGGAATACACGTTAAAAGTGAGGACTATGGTATTTCTCATACCTGTTACCCTTACACACCCATCCTCATCCGCCTACCTCCTAAATTCCAACCTTATCCTACTTCACAAGCAGATATAGTGAAACACAGAAACTGCTTTGCTGTGGAATCTTAATCAAAACTTTCTGAGAGAGATCATCATTGGTATCATGGGTGTTCCTTTCCTAGGGGGTACATCTAAATCACCTTGAACCTAGCCGAATGCAGTTAAGGCTAGGAGGTCTTTAAATATCTTTCTAAATTACTGCAGACACCGATACAAGTAATGCAGCTGATAAGAGAAGTTCTCATCATACAACAATGTCAGCAATAAACCTGCATAGATGGCCGATATCAAAAACAACTGGAATAAATATAGAAACTCAAGAGCTGATATTGAAATACTACGAATTGCCTGATCAGCTCTCGAAACTGCATATTAACCCTCCTGGGGGGGCGGGGGTATGAATATGAATATGAATGAGCAAAACAGGATAGCCAGGAAACAAGAAGATTGGAGAAATGAGTATCTGCATTCTGCATTAAATACATGTATCAAATAATTTGTTTCATAAAAAAAATTATAAATAAATAGATTGATAAAGTTAAAAAATATTTGGAATTACACAAAATAGCAACTCCCGTATAATTTACTTTCATATACTCAGTAAAAGCTCTATTTTTAAATGCGATTCAATAACATGAAATGACATGACCCTGTATTTAGCATACAGGAACTGGATGAACTCCCTGGGAGTGTCCCCCTACGTGAACTGGTTATATTCAGATCTAGCAGATGGTCTCGTCATATTCCAGGTATATTTTTTCTCTACAAAATATCGTCTTCGTTCTTGTTTTACTTTAAATAATGTTGTGTTTCCACAAAGGATTAGACTTCAGAGACAAATGTACGGAATTTGTTTAGTCCGTTCTTTGTAGGGTAAAGCTGGTATATTTCTGTGCTTAACCTATTTATAAACCATCAAAAACAAAAATGTTGCCTCCACATTTTTAGACCAATCGGCTAAAAAACATTCATCAATTTATTTGCATTTGAACCGACGTCATCGTAGATATCAATACAATGAAGACGACTTTCTATTTTAATTTTGATGGCATTCCATTTTGAAAAATTGGTCAATTAACAGCTTTCTTTGATTATTTGTATATTTTAAAATTGGTTGTTGTGATCAAAGCATTATTGATAAAAAGTCGTCTTCATTGTATCGATAAAATCACCGACCATTGGAACATATATTTTTGTTTCAGCTTTATGATATAATACAACCTGGTGCTGTTACTTGGAATAAAGTTCATAAAACTTTTAACAGGCAGATAAATAAATAAATAAATATAGAAATAAATAAATAAATAAATTAGTGAAAAAGATTAAAAATCAATGATTAAGTAAATGAATGAATGAAAAACAGATTAATAAATAAATAAATAGACAAATGGATAATTAAATAAGTAAAAAAAGAAGAATTAAATGAAAAAAAAATAAATTCATAAAGGAATAGATAAGTAAATTTAAATAATGAATGAACAGCAGATTGATTATCATGAGGATGAATAAATAAATAAATGAATAAATTCATAAATTCATAAATAAATGAATAAATTAATGAATACATTAATGAATAAATAAATCAATATATCAATAAATTAATAAATAAATGGATAAATAAATGAATTTATGATAATCTGAAGAATGAGAAAGTTTATGGAGAAACTAGAAAACTGTAATTATGTTGTGGACTTGGGCAGAAAACAAAAATATTCCCTAGTTGGGATAGCAGGTTAGATATCTATCTATCTATCTATCTATCTATCTATCTATCTATCTCTATCTATATATCTATCTATCTATCTCTATCTATCTATCTATCTATCTATATATCTATCTATCTATATATATTTATATATTTACCTATCTATCTATTTATCTTTTATAATGTTATCTAAGATAAGATAAGATATAATTTATTGCTAAAAAAAAACAAGTTATAAATAAAAAAAAATGTTTTTTTTTCTGACTCGAAAAGTGTCAAACTCTAACAATTCATTGTTTCTGAAGCAGAAATGCGCAAGTAGCTTTGAAAAAAATATGAAAATAATCCATTTTCACAAAGAAATTTATGAATATCTTCTGTGCTCTTGATCAAACTAAGCTTAAATTTGTAACTCTGCTGCAGATTGTAAATCTGAAATTCATGAACTCTTGAAATGAATTTATGCCTGTAGTCACTTTAAGCTTTTACATTCTTATAACTCTTACTTTATATACCCTTTTTTGGTTTAGTAAATAGTCATGTGCATTGTACAGTAAGATGGATCATTTTTGAGGGGGTTTGGACAAAAATCTGAGGTGTTAAACAAGACTCAAAATTGTTTATTATTTAAATCGTACACCAAAAGTACACTGTAAAATTGTACACCAAAAATACACGGTAAAATTGTACACCAAAAATTCACGGTAAAATTGTACACCAATAATACATGGTAAATTTGTACACCAAAAATGCACGGTAAAATTGTACACCAATAATACACGGTAAAATTGTACACCAATAATACACGGTAAAATTGTACACCAAAAATGCACGGTAAAATTGTACACCAAAAATGCACGGTAAAATTGTACACCAATAATACACGGTAAAATTGTACACCAAAAATTCACGGTAAAATTGTACACCAATAATACATGGTAAAATTGTACACCAACAATACACGGTAAAATTGTACACCAACAATACATGGTAAAATTGTACACCAATAATACACGGTAAAATTGTACACCAACAATACATGGTAAAATTGTACACCAACAATACACGGTAAAATTGTACACCAACAATACATGGTAAAATTGTACACCAATAATACACGGTAAAATTGTACACCAACAATACATGGTAAAATTGTACACCAATAATACACGGTAAAATTGTACACCAACGGTCCAACGAACCAAAAACGAAAGTGTTTAAACAATGTGATTCACCAATTTTTTACCGAAAAATTCTGATAATTTTGAAAGAAAAGTACTATATATATGTCCACCAAATTATATTTAGTTGTGACGATTTTTTTTTATTATTATATGTCCAGGGGTTCCTGAGTTATGATCAGACAAACAGAGATTCAAACTTATAAATATAGATTATTATTTCTAGGTCAGGATATCTGTGATGGAAACGCTACCCTGACACTGGCCTTGGTTTGGCAGTTAATGAGATCATATACCCTCAATGTCCTAGCCAACCTAGGGGAGGGGAAACATATCGAAGGAGATATAATAAAGGTTAGAAATATGGTAGTTAATAAGATCATATACTCTTAAAGGGACTGTAAGCGTAATTTTAATTTGCTCTCCGTGCAAAAATGACAAAGCCCGATTGACAACGGTACCCTTAAAAGTTGATTCTCTCATACGTAAAATCAAGGGAACCTACAAGGCCACAGCTCGTGCCAGTAAAGTGGCTTGAATTTGTCCTCCTCCTTCTGTCTATAGGTTGCAATGACGAGACATAATAATAAATAATGTTTTTAATATCTTCTTTATTAGAAAAATTGCGCATTTAGTTTCTTTATTGATTTTAATTAAGTTTATCAAAAAATTGGAATCCTCTCAAAAAATAAACTAATGAAACATTTGTTAGGCTTTTTTTATTTCCAAAATTTTTATCGTTATAAAAAGTATTTTTAAAGATAATTTGACATTTGAAAAATTTATCTTCAATTGGAAATATGAAATGATTATTTTATTGTTCTGTGTGAATATTATTATTCATGAATTTGAACAATTTAGGTCGCCCATCCTAAATTAACATGCAACGATCTGCAATTCAATACAACATGTTGTGAGAAATTAGTAAAAACCAACATTCTACGTAAAATTTAGTTTATTGGTTTTTTTCTAAATATTAACAACTTTTTAATTAAAAAACTTAAAAACAATGAAACTTATAAAGTTTTTTTTTATTTTTAACTATTTCTTATTACTGTTCATTATATAATATATATTATTCTGTGATATCCTGTCTTATTCTAACAATTGTTTTTGGTAGCTTTTATAGTAATATTCTAACCTTTCTACAGGAATTTTGTAGCCGACATTGAACCCTAATAAACTAATATTTTCACGGATTTTTTTTAATTAGTGGATTTTCTAAATTTGTGGATGTCAAAGAAAATGTCAGACAAAGTTTTCCCATTTCGACCAGCTACAAACCTTTCCTTTGTGGGAGTTTTCCCATTTCGACCAGCTACAAACCTTTCCTTTGTGGGAGTTTTCCCATTTCGACCAGCTACAAACCTTTCCTTTGTGGGAGTTTTCACACAAAAAATTGGGCCCAAATAGATTATCAAGTACAATAGGTGGCAAGAGAGAAATAAACCTGACGTCATAAGTGTCAAATATTTAATCTTAAAACATGTGTTTTAAGATTAAATAAAAAAGTGTAAAAACAGAAAATAAAGAATACATTTAATTGCACTTATGTTACTGTAAGATAAGCACTTTATTAATAAACCTATCACTATTGTTAAACATTTGGTCGGACACAAAAACTGAATTGACACTTGTGACGTCAGACTACAGCTATACTGAGTGTAAAAATTCTACGTTGCCATCTATTGTACTAGAATCTATTTGATTGGGTCCGATCAGTTCTTTTCAGCCATTTTGCCTCACCAACAAACAGTAAATTTATATATGTAGATTTGATATCATATTAATTTCTATTCTATTCTAGTGGGTCAATGACAAACTGCAGACAGCAGGAAAATCTTCAAAAATTTCCAGCTTCCAGGTATATTCTAATGCTATATCAGGAATATATTAATGGGATCTACCATAACATAAAATGTACTGCAATTTATGGGAGAAATGTAAACACGCGGATAAACAGTACACATTATTATATGAAGGTTCCATTTATATTTGTTAACTCTAGCAACAATATTTTTATAAATGGTCTTGTCCCATTTCTAAGCATGAGAATTAAGAGGAATACAGACAACAAGTTTTCAGTCATATTTGTATTTCAAGTGATCCTTCATTTATATTATGAAATTTTTGATTCACAATGGTAAACTTTTCTCCTTGGTTTAATTAAACATGAATGAGATTTCATTCTTTATCTCGCTGAAAATTGATTAGTTTAGATTTGTATTTCTCGTTGAAAGTGCATATATATGCTCAGAGACAACGAAGGGAATTGTCGGAAATAAACATATTTTCAGAAAACTACAAAATCTCAGTTAGAGAGTACCATAGTGAATTGGACGACGGGCATACCTTGCTGCTTTTAACATGGAGTTTTACTTTGATAAATGTTAACTGCAGTCCCTTTCATGCTCACTCCTGAATAAAAAACCACGTCTAATTTCAGGATGGGAGTATATCTACAGGATTGCCCCTGATAGATTTGATAGATTCTATCAAACCTGGCTGTATTAACTACGATCTTGTCTTAGATCCAGACACAGAGGAGGTAGTCATCTTGTTTATCTATCTAACATTTGTCGCCATCTTGTTTATCTATCTCTACATTGGTCGCCATCTTGCTTATCTATCTTTACATTGGTCGCCATCTTGCTTATCTAACTATCAATGTTGCCATCTTGTTTATCTATTCATCAATGGTAGCCATCTTGTTCCATTTCATTGGTATTCATCTTGATAATATATCTATCTATTATCAGCGTGTTTTTCTTACTATCTATCCATCCATCTGTCTAAGTAAGTGTGTAATGTTTTATTTATGAAATATAACAAAAACATACAAAATTAAGGGGTTCAAGAAAAAATATTTAAAAGCCTCCAAAAATAGAGGTTGTGTGAATATTTCCCCCCAATTCTAAAAAAGAAAACAAAAGCTACATATTTATTTTTATTGTTTACAGGATAAGATAGCGAATGCTAAGTATGGAATATCTATGGCTCGAAGACTGGGTGCACGTGTCTATGCTCTACCGGAGGATATTGTAGAGGTAGGATTCAAGATAGTCTTTTCATATATACAGTAAGAACCAGATAACTCTTGAATATAAAGACGATATTAAAGCTATACTTAAACGTATTTGACTTTATAACAAAGCAAATAGTTTTATTTATTCACTTATTATGTGAAATTGGTCTGTTAGCACTGCACAGTTGATGTGTCTCATGTTCATTTGACTATTTAACTTGAGTCTATCACTAGTTTTCTATTCCAGAGTTTTGTGGGTATCACTGTACTTTAAAGGATTGTTTTTATTTCCTCTCCGTAAGAAGTCCCATTAATTAATCACATCAGTTACATTTTCACCGCTATAAAGGAGCAGGATGGAGATGTCCTTCTTTTGTACATTAAAAATTGATTGTTGTCGCAGCCTTTCTGCAAATTATGCATGAACTAAACGCTAACTTTAAAATTCTTCGCTTAACTTTAAAATTGTTTGATTGTTCTAGGTTTGACAAAAATATTGCAATCAATTATGAAAAGTGAAAATACTCCCATAAAGGTTTAAATGCTCCAAAATACAAAGAAATTAAATTTTAGATAAATTAGATAACCAAAATGTAATTTCTGTTTAGATCAAACCCAAGATGGTGATGACGGTGTTTGCTGTTCTAATGTCACGTGACTATGTCCCAAATATGGATTCTAAACAGTGAATTCTACGCGGCAGAATCAGAAAAATTGCGCGTCACGACAAATTCGAGAATTTACATGTTTATATTTTGAATTTTAATATTTTTTCTCGGTGTAATTTGCCATGACAGTATGCCAATGTGTCACATTTTTAGACTAACCCTACAACAAATCGTAATGTAATGTAATTTTGTCACTTAATATTTTTTTTTGTTATTTTGTTGCCAAATAATAGTTCTGAAGTCGCAATAAAGATAGTTAATAACGTGCCTAAACCCATAAATTTTGATGTGCCTAACTTAAGTAACCGTGCCTAATTTTTGTAAAATAAAGACTACCATGGCTCTTTAGGTTATATTTTATATTTAAATTTTGAAGTAAAAAAACTGTTATTTATTGAGAAGTACTTAAGCTACCTTAGAACTATACAAGGTTATAATACAACGAAAGTTATTTCAGAGGTGTACGCATCTTTTGTACTGCAGTGTACTGTCTCTGGGCGGTAATGTAAACACAAGACGGATGTCACAGCCTGACATGGGATCCATCTTTCACATAAAAAATCAATGAAATATTCTGGTCATAGGAAACTATTATGTGGGAATTATCAAAATTTTTCAAAATTCAATGCTTTTATCCTCCTCGGATACTAAACTAACAATGATGCATCTATTCTTGTTTACAAATTCCGCCCAGAGAGAACTGGTTTCAATATGTACGCAGAGTATACACAACTGCAATTAACTTTCCTTGCATTATAACCTTGAAACTATAAATTCCCAGGAATTCTACAATATTTTGTCTTTTACATGATGTTAAAATTATCTAATGACCACAATCATTTTTATAATTCTGTGGAATTATATTTCTGTAGGATTAACTGGTCCTTTATTTTATCTATTTCTATCAGTTTATTTTATCTATTTCTATCAGTTTGATCAATTATTTAAACAGTATATTATGGTAAGATATAAATAACATAATATTTTTTCTGTGTATAATTTTTGGAAATTAAATAACAAAAATTTATTAAAATTTCAGTCATAATTTTTCAAAAAATAACCTTTTTATGAGCCAAGTGTGCAGTTGTTTACTAACAATGTGATAATAATCCATAACATATATTATCATCTAATATAGTTTTTTTTATTTAGAAAATCAAATAAATATTTGAAACACCAATTTTTGTTTCCGTTGGACCACCAACATCTATACTGTTTACAACAAACAGGATGGATTGTTTAAGTTTACATAAATCAAGACTGCTATGAAAAGTTGAAGTGTCGCAACGTTCATTTTACAACTTGAAAACACTTGTTTTTAGCTTTATTTCTAAAGTATTTGGCAACGTTCTTAGAGATTTTGCAATCTCCGAATTCTTTCAGTTTTTCATCAAAGATTTTAAGAAGTGCTGTTAAAAATATTGCATTTAAAAATTATTCCAGTCATAAACAGTAGGAGAAGGTTTAAGGTATGCAACATTGCTGCTATGCCTCTGTGACCTGGTAGTTCTACTGGTTATATTCCAGTCATAAACAGTAGGAGAAGGTTTTATGTATGCAACATTGCTGCTATGCCTTTGTGACCTGGTAGTTCTGCTGGTTATATTCCAGTCATAAACAGTAGGAGAAGGTTTAAGGTATGCAACATTGCTGTTATGCCTCTGTGACCTGGTAGTTCTACTGGTTATATTTTTAACCACAAGTATGAGAAAAGAAGATTATCCGGGTTCAGATTAAAAATTCAAAAGATTTTCGTTCTCGTCAATAGCTTTCATCATAAAATGTTTTTCTTCGAGTTTAATGTCTTACTAAGTTACTTTATTGCCTTGAGGCTTCAAATGTATTCTAACTTATTTTTTTAGACAAGTACATGAAGTACATGAAGTACATGAAGAATCATTTTTAAAGAGAAACTATACAATTGAAATTAATCCGATAGAAACGTAACACGACTTGAAAATCCTTTTAAATTAATAGTAATTTTTAGAGAATAATCTCTCACATTTTAACCTTATCTCTGCTGGGGTACTTGAAAACCAGGATATGCTGGGGGGGGGTCAATTTGACCCCCCCCCCTCTGAATCCCATGTTTGATGTCCAAATATGACAAATGATACATCATTGGAAAGCTCTTGTGCTCTACTTTTAGAATCTGCAAAAAAAATTTGAAAATTTGCAAAAATTGAATTTTTTATCGCAAAATCCAGTTATAAAGTAAAAATGTTTGCAAAAAAAAATTTGTCCAAAAAATGAAAAATTATACATTTTTGAAAAGCCCTTGACCATGCCATTTCAAATATGC